GAAGTGGCTGCGGTCAGCTTGCAGCGCTGCATTTTAACCCCTCGCGCCACCAGGGAGGCCCCTCCACCCTTTTAAATCCGCAAAATCTTTTTCGCATAAGTGGAATAAGGCGAAACAAAAGAGAATGGAGAGGATAGACATGAGGCAGGAAGAACACGAAAGGACTGGGTGGGCGGGGTGGACACTATGTCACCATCAACTCGAAGATCCAAAAGGGGCAGTAACTGCCCAATCATTTGTCTGCCCACACCCGGAGCGGGAGCGGCGGCAGACGGGGTCAGTGCGCTGGAGCGCGGTGCTGACCGCTGAGCCAGGGCTGCAGACAAAGGCGGAGGGAGCCAAGCTGGTGCTTCCGGCTATGCTTCGGGGCTGGGAGAGTGGCAGAGTTACCTCGGGCACCTGCAGGATTTGTGTGAAGCAGCTTTCGGGCTCCTTGTCTGGGAAGCTGCTCAGCAGGACCTGGTAGCGGGTGGGTTCCTCCCAGAGGGTGAAGCTCACCCGCAGCTGCCGGGCCTCTCCAGTCTCCACGGCGATGTCGGGATCCCACAGGCTGCCTGCCCAGGGCACGGGCGCAGGGCGGGTTGGGGAGAGGACACGTGTGCATGTGAGCGCCAGCGCCCACGCGGGCTCTGAGCCGAGGTCCCAGGCCACCAGCGCGGTTACCTGAGTTCACACACGGCGTGGTTATCTTCATCCGGGGGTCCCTGCAGCCTGGCAACCCAGAATAGAGCGAACTGTGAAGTCTTTGCCTTAGAAAGCTTGCGCCTCTGTCTCCTGACACCTGACTCCTGAGAACCTTCTCCTTTTTGGGAGATTGTTCAAACAAGGCTCCTTCAGAGTCAGCCCCAGGCCGGGACTGTGGCCACTGGCCAGAGGTTCCAGAGAATTATGGGCTGACCTGAGGGGGTCTCCTTCCCCCTCTCTCAGGGAACCTTCCGGATTCAAGGTTGCTTTGGGCAGCCAAGGAGTCCTCGCCTGCTCAGGCCCCTGTGGGCCGCCTGCAACTTCCTCCCCAGTGTCTCTGCCTGTATACAGGGGGGAAGCGCTTAGTTCTTCAGGGCTGTGTTTCTCGAACTTCTGAGTACATCATCAGTCATTCACTCTGGAGCCAGTGGGTCGGGGTGGGTTCTGAAAGCTTGCATTTTTTTCTTAAAAAAGATTTTTATTTATTTATGCACATAAGAACTGGGGGGGCAGGCCAGAGATGCAGGGGTGAGAGGATTCACCAGAGACAGAGTGGGGAGCAGAACAGGTGGGATCTACTAAAATACACTGCTGAGGGGAGCAGTGGTGGGTCAGGAGAGGTCTGCTGCGCTGTGTGGGTCAGCTCTCTGGCTGGGGATCGAACTCATGCTGCGGTGACAGCAGACAGCTTCACGGTGCTGTGTTCTAACCTGTTGCCTCATGAGGAAGGGTCCTGAACACTTTCATTTCTAACAATATCCCAGGTAACTGGATGAGGACTCAGGCCCCTGAGAACCACCTGCCTCCATATTTAACTTCTTGATCCCCCCCACTATCCGTCCTTGAATTGCTTGGACTCTGGTCTAAGGAGACACATGACAGACACACATTGTCTGGGGACTGACCAAGCACTCATTTGACTAATGTTTCCGGTATGTTCCAGGTCCTGTGCTAAGCACTGGAAACACAGCAGAGAACAGACAAAGTCCCCACCTTCCCGAGAGTACATTCCAGTAGGAGAGACCCGTGAAGACAAAAGCCAGCATAATGCAATCTCACAATTACATCATGACCACGTAATGTCCCGGAGTGGCGTTATTTTAAGCAGGATAGCAGGCTGTATACGTGTGCATGCATAGAGGTGGGGGACTCCAGAGAGGAAGAAGGCCCGCACCACCCTTGACAAGGACTTCTGGACTCCCACTACGTGCAGGGTGTCGGGAGCTTCTGAAGACTGCGTGAATGGGTGTGAAGCGCAGACCCGGTACTCAAGGTGGGGCTGGGCTCTGAGGGGCTGGCTTCCAACACGGGTCATGAAGGTTGTGCCTGCGGTTGTGGGGGCAGACAGGAGGTGCGCACACGTCAAACGGTGCTTTAGAAGATAACCGGGTGGTCCCCGAAGGCAGGACAGTGAGCGGCAGAGGAAGCGACGTTGCCGTGGGGGATGGCGCAGGGAGGGGGTGTGAGAACAGGTGGTGAGGGGGGCCCTGGCCAGGAGGGCGCTCTTACCAGGCACGAGGAAGCTCCGGGACACATGGTTTGGGTCCCCGCCAGGGGCAGGCTGGGGTAGGTGGTGGACGGTCACCTCATACTGCTGGCCAGGTTCCACCACAAAGTGGCTGAAGTTAAAATGCCACTAAAGAGAAGGGAGGGAGGGGTTTGCAGAGGTCACACACGGATCTCTCACCCATCGGGGTGCAAAGAGCCCTCCCCTGCCAGCCCCCAAAAGACCAGTCAACAATACGAAAGCCACAATCAGAGCCAAAGCCAAGGCTGGAGGCACTGGCATCTTGGTTTCTCATTTCCTCCCATCTTTTCTGCCTATTTTATAAAACCTAGGTCCGGCCTCGTGAATGGCGAGCCGTACCACAAGCGTGGGGGTCTGGGGAGCCAGACCAGGCCTCCACTGCCCAGCTCAGGGTAATGCCGCAGGGTGCCAGTCAGAGTACGCGGGGTCACCACGAGCGCTGGCGGACGAGGCGAAAGACTATCATTAAATGCAACTCTTCCTCCTTAAAAGTGAGCTCAGGAGATCTCGCTCTTTTTTTTTTTTAAAGATTTATTTATTTGTGCATACAGAACTGGGGTACAGGCCAGAGGTGCAGGGCAGTGAGAGGCTTCACCAGAGACAGAGTGGGGAGCAGAACAGGCAGACCGATGAAGTACACTGCTGAGGGGAGCAGGGGGTGGGTCAGGAGAGGTCTGCTGGACCATGTGGTCACCTCCGGGGTGGAGATTGAACTCGTGCTGCAGTGGCTGTGATGGCTTCATAGTGCTGAAGCTTTAACCTGCTGCGCCACCAGGGCCCCTCCAGGACCTCAGGAATTCTGGAGTGCACAAGTGCAGAGGGTGGCTGAGGAGACCCCACTCACCCTGGGCCTGCAGACGCCCCTGCTGCCAAAATAACAGCATCTGTGCAGATGACACTTGGCCTCCGACACCCATTCTAGTCTCCCCCGCAGAGGAAGGGGGGTCCCTTGCTCCTGAGTGGCTCCAGGCACCAGGTCCTCCCCATTCATGGAGCAGCCAGTGTAACCGGCCTAATTAAACCATTACCTTTGCGCCTTGGGTTCACGGGGAATCTTACCAGCAGTTTTCGGGCCTCCCCGGTGGCACATGGGGTCAAAGCACAGCACTGTGAAGCTGTCTGCAGCCACTGCAGCACAGTTTGATCCCCGCTCAGGGAGGTGACCCCCATGGCACAGCAGACCTCTCCTGACCCGCCCGCTGATCCCCTCAGCAGTGTGTTTCAGTCCATCTGCCTCTCCTGCTCCCCACTCTGTCTCTGGAGCATCCTCTCAATCTCCCATAACTCTGGCCTGTATCCAGTTCTTGTGTGCATAAACAAATACATCTTTAAAAAAAATGAGCAGGTTTCAAAGTGCAGCCTGCATCAGAAGCACAGGGTCAGCCTGTAAACACCAGCCACCCACAGCTTCAGATTCAGGGGGTCTAGCATGGACCCTCTGGGGACATGCTGGTGTTGCAGGTCCCAGGGCCGCACCTTGAGAACAAGGGCTCTGGCAGTCATCTTCCCATGCATCTTCCTCCGGAAGGAACAGCTCCGCAGGGTTGGAAGAAAGAGCACGGTGGGCATATCAGGGAAGCTCACCAAAGTATGTTCCTCCCGCCACGATCCTCAGAGGAACACACTCATCTGGAGCTGATGCTTACCCGCTGACCAAACCGATGCTCCAGTTTGGACAGAAACTTGAACTTGACACATAAGAGCTCGTTGGTGTCCTGCTGCAGGATAGACACCTCTGCACCCCTCAGGAACAGGATGCTGGCTGGAGGACGGAGGGAGGAGAGGAGCAGACAGATACAGATCAAGACAAGCTGCTGGCATGTCCCTCCCCGGGTCACGCTTGCTTAGTCTTAGATGAAAATCTGACCCAGTCCTCCCCTTCCTGGACTTCGCGCTAGCGCCTGAGGTGGCCTGCTGCCTTGCAGACGCATCCAGAGCAGGGACACTTTATACTGGCCCAGCAGCAAGGGCTTTGCAAATTTGTGGCAAAGGCGCTGGCAGTGGGGTGTGGGTCACAGGCGGCCAGGCCCAATGGTCACGGGGAGTTGGGACCCTCAAAGAGAACTTCCCCCAGGCCCCATCCACAAATCCAGAGGTGGCTCTTGTTCACCCCATTTTTTTCCTTGTTCTGTGATACAACTCTATCTCTGAAGCGGTTTGGGAGATGTTGGCTTAGGGGCCAGCTCTGAAAGGAAAAGCCAGTGCATTGCCTTTTTTTTTTCTGGTATGGGAGTACAAATAGACTTAGGCCTTCATGTTTGAGCATAACTCTGGGAGCCCAGCTCAGGCTGCTGGGAGAGCCGATGGCTCTCCTGAGGTTCTCCTGGAGGGGGTCCAGCCAATGCACCCACTCACCATCTGTCTTCAGGGTCCAGTTGATGTGAACCACAGGGAGGAGGTCTCCATGCTGGGTGTGAATAAAATGCAGCTGGGTCTGGACGTCCTTGGGGGACGAAGGGGTCAGATTTTGAGGGCGGATCCAGCTGTCATCCAGGCAGGTACCTGGAGGCCAGGAAAAGCAGCAATCAGAAGCTCCCATGGTCTGCAAGACACTGAAGAAGCTGTGGGCACTGCAGCCTGGCCCAGCAGTGGGTCGAGGACCTGGACCCTGAATAGGCAGGGGCTCACGACCTCGGCCGGAATCCCAGCTTCACTGGTCTGCTCCCTCTTTTTCAGTGCTTGTCTGGGGTCTAAAGAGCATTTTAGGAGACAAAACAAAACACACACTGTGTTTTTGAGAGGCAGTCAAATGTGCCCCTTGGAAACGGGGCACAGGAGACAGAGGGCAGTGATGACAGTCACTTTGTTTTTGTAGGCCAGGGGTCCCCTTGAGCTTAAATATACGCCTCTTTCTCGACTTAAAACACAAAGCAAAATGTGCACACCGCTGTGTCTCACTGCAGTGACAAGCTCTGGCAAATCAAGTGACCCATGAGGCAGGACCCCAGAGCAGACTTCAAGGTCAAAGGCAATGTTAGCCCTTCCTTCCTGCGTGGGGCAGAAGTTGTCTCCAAAGGAAGTGCAGGTGCACACCCCCATGTGGCCCCACCCTCCCTGCAGCATGGAACCCCAGTCCGAACCAGAAGCAGACTGGCAGCGCTTCTCTCGGAGATCAGCACGAGGTGAGCACTTTATCAGCAAAGCAACAAGAACAGAAAAAGAGGACTTACTATTCTCGATGGTGCAGTTCAGCCCCTGGAAGGAAGGAGGAGGCAATCACAGCTGGGAAAGGACTGAGTTCACCAGTCAGGCCCCGGCACCGTCTGCTGGCTCATTCTCAAGAATGAAATAAACACAGGCTCCCTTTCTCACTTTGGGGACTATTCTTGGGTGGGGTTGGGGGGGGGTCTTCTCTCACTTTTCTCATCTTGCCTAACTGAGGATGACCTGGATGAGGAGTGACACAGTGGAGGGCAAAATAGACCTGGATTATCTTGTGAGTGTTATGAGATGGAGCTTCCCGCCCTTCAAAGACATTGAGAGGTTCTCTCGGGCACGACGGTGAAAATCTCTAAGTCTAAATAAATCTCTAAATCTCTCCAGACTCCCCCCACCCCTTTAGTCTGGATAACAAGGCAGCCCTGGGGGAGTGGAAATACAGTCCCTGTTACAGAAAACTCACTCAGGCCTTACAAGCTCCCTGGGTGATTTATAGAGAGAATCTCACTCATCCTCATGACATACTTGGGTAATCTCCTTACTCCTATTTTACAGATGAGGAAATGGAAGCACAAATATTACATTGTTGTGGAGAATTCAATGATACAAATGTAAATAAAAATCTTAGGGAAGAGAGTGGAGGTGATGGGCATGTAAAGAGACTTTCACTTTTAACACATCCAGATTATACACAAGATGGTAAAGAATGAGAATGGATTCATGTTCATGTATTAACTATACAACTAAATGAAGTAATACAACACTTGGGCTCTCTTAAATGTCTCACTGGGAGCCCTAAGAGCATCAATGTGAGGAATTGTGTTCACTGTAGAGCCTGCTAATATGTATCCAGTTCCAGAATGTTATGGTTGCTCTTTAATTTCTGGGGCCACTTCTTTGAGGTTGGCATAGATAGGTGCTCCATTAATAGAAGCCAATATTACATTATATGTACTCAGATTTGACAGGAGGTTAAGGGTAAGGGCCCAGGTGGAACTCAGACTCAACTGTCTCTAGTTGTCAGATCAAGAAGACATGGCATATATACACAATGGAATATTACTCAGTGATCAAAAAGATAAGCGCATGCCGTTCACAGCAACATGGATGGAGCTTGAAGGGACTGTGCTCAGGGAAATAAGTCAGAAGGAAAAAGAAAAATACCGGATGGGTTAATTTATGGGAGGAATATATGGGGATCAAGGGAAAAAATAACAACAACAACAAAACAAAAATAAACAGAGAACTATAAGCCAGAGACATTTTGCAGGGGAGAGGGAAGAAGAGGTCAAAACAAGGGCGGGAAGAGCAGAAGGGACTTTGCTGATGGTGCTTGGTGAATTGGTGGTGGGAACTCAATAGGGACTACGCCTGAGAAAGGAAAGCAAACCTTATAAGGAAAAAAAAAAAAAAAGGGATAGGGCCCTCCCTCCTGGTGGCGCAATGGGTTGAAGGCAGCACTGGGAAGCTATCAGCAGCCGCTTTGGCGCGAGTTTGATCCCCGGCCAGGTGGGTGACCCACATGGTGCAGCAGACCCTCCTGTCTGCCCTCCGCTCCCCTCAGCAGTGTATCTCAGTCAATCTGCTTGTTCTGCTCCCCACTCTGTCTCCTTCTCTCCCTACTCACATCTCTGGTCTGCACCCCAGTTCCTTGTGCATAAATAAATAAATCTCAAAAAATAGAATAATAAAAAAATAAAGTTTATATGGGCTGTAAAATCATTTTAAAAAAGGCCTCCAGTTGTCATACCTGGAAAGATGGAATCAGCACATCCCGGGGTCTGGGGCTAGGGGAGGACCAGAGGGAGAGAGGGCAGAAAGTCGGAGGTTGAAGCTGGCCAGAATGCAATTTTGAGGACGATGGAGCGGCTTGGTAATTGTGTGTGACAGGACAGTGTGGCCGGCAGCTGCATCGTCTCCAGCAGCAGAGGCGTCACCAGGGCTCGGGCAGGGTAATGTCCTTAAGCTCGCCCCGCGATCAGTGCCCTGTGAGCTGCTCACACAGCGACCTCTCTAGACATCAGTGCGTAAGCTCTTGGGTCTAGGCCTTCCGTCTCCCGTCCCGCTCCTGGTGCTGAGGCCTCACAGCTCTGCCAGGTGTGCCAAGTGTTCACAACTAAACCCACCCAGCTGTGTCTGTCCCCTACACACGTGTCACTTCCGGTCCTGAAAGGGCAGGAGCTTAATTCCCAGGAACTGCACATTTTTCCTCCTACTTAACACCTCTAGGACTGGAACATGGTGTCCTTGAGGTGGGGGGAGGGCACTCCTCCAGAAAGGGCAAACAGACACCTGTTGGGGTAACTCCCTGTTGGCACTGGTAGGTACTCAAAGCCATTGCAAGATGATGCAAGAAGATGCAACCAGGTGATCAATATGACTTAGGTGCCATCTCCTAATTCCTGCGGTTGATGGAACTAGCTTGGCATTTAGTATTGCTGCTGGTCTAGGTTTTTGATAATCATCATACAGAAGAATTTTCTTTCTAAGGCCTCTAGGAGTTAAGTCTCAGCACTATCACCACTAAGGCCTGAGGTTGACCCCTGGCCAGGGAGGTGACCCACATGGCGCAGCAGACCCCTCCTGTCTCACCTGCTGCTCCCCTCAGCAGTGCACTTCAGTAGATCTGCCTGCTCCCCACTCTGTCTCTGGCGAGTCCTCTCATCTCCCCACACCTCTAGCCTGTACCCCAGTTCTTTAAAAAAATAAGAGGAAGTATAAAGAGGAATGGAGGAATAGAAATTTGAGCATGGTAGTAGGAGATGAGAGGGAAGAGGAGGGCTGGCAGGTGTCAGGTCTTACCGGTCTCAGGTGCCCTGGGATAGCATGGTGCAGGGGCTGAAAGGGGGAGGGGGTGAGCAGCCTACAGGTGGACAGCTGAGCCCGGCTGAGGGAGAAGCTGGGGCTCCCGGCTGGTGGATGCTATTCGGTGTTACGCAGCCTCCAGAGGGAAGCCTAGCCTGACAGGAGCAGTGGGCAGAGGGGACGAGGGCTTGGGCTCGTGACCACGGAGTTCGTTAACCTTGTGGGTTCTGTGACGCAGGGTGACCCCACCCTGCCTGCCCAAATGCGGTGCCAGGCAAGCTTAACTCTAAAACCGGTGCTGCTGAAAACAGCCTCTAGCAACTAGAAGATAAGGGTCACACCAAACAGGTTGCCTACCACAAGTCAAAACCACAAGAGCACAGAGGAGAAAGAGTGGGTAACATAAGACATATCCTGGCTAGAAAACAGTGTGCTCACACTCACGCCGCCTTTGCGGCCGGCTCCAGCGTTCTGGCAGTCTCCACAGAGCCGGGAAAGCCTGGCAGGCAGGGGAAGGCCAAGCGGAAGTCTGGACGGGGAAGTGCAACTACCGTACAGTTTCTCCACTATTGATTTCTGCTGGCAACTGGGTCACCCAGGGTTTGAGCTGCTAAACCAAGCAGGCAGCCACAGTGCTATGCCTGGAGTCAGTCGGTCATTGCTTTGCAGCCATGTTCTGAGCAATTGCTTCCCACTCCTTCAAACACTCAGTCTCTCCTTCCGTCTTCATTCCGTGGATCTATTGAGCCCAGCAACCGGAGCTTACAGCACCGGGCACAGAGCGGGGCAGGACTGCAGGCGGCAGGCGCTTCTCTGGCCTAGAGTCAGCGAGAATGACTCCAGTGGGTCTCTGGGGAGACATTCAGTCTGGAGAGTGCTACAGGTTCGCCGTGGAGGGCTCTCCCCTTTTCACTGTGGGAACCTACAGGCAGCCTCCATGCACAAGCCTGCAGATCCTGAATGGTGAAGGCAGGATAGGAAGCCAGGGCCTGCAGGTGTCCTGCACTTGCTAAAATGCCAGTGAAGGGAGGGAAATTTGAGGGTGTGGCTTCTGTTAAAGGAACAAGTCAATGAAGCAGGGAAGCTGCTGGTCCATGGGGCTGAGGCGTCCACAGACAAGGGAGAAGGAAGCTTGTGGGAAAGCAGGCCAGGGCAGACCCGCCAGCTCCCCGGAGCCACACACGCCCCCGCCCTGATTTCTCCGCTCTTTCCCACTGGGAAACTGAAGTCAAAAACTTTCAGGCCAGCTTCCCCGCCACAGTGGCACTCTGCCTTCCTTTTAGATTCTTTTCTCACTTTCCTGCCAGACACTCCACTCTAGACACACATCGCTGCTGCCCTGCAAGGCCTCAGCCCTTAGGCCCCCTGGAATGCTCCGCCCACCTCTGTCTTTGAGGTTCTCACAAGCTTTCTGGGCACTTCCCCCACCCTCCAGCCCCCTACATGATTTAAGCCTCTGGACACCAGGGTCTCAGGAGTTTAACCTCTAGGGTTTCAGCTCCTACCAACAGCCCCTGGTATTCTGTAGACAGCTGGATACGGCTATCAGAAAAATGAGCAGCGTCTTCTCATGGGAAGCTACTTCCAGGCCAAGTTTGCAGGAAGGCTGTGAGCACGTGTCCCCAGGGGGAATCTGGGCATTTCCCAACACCACTCACAGAAGAAAACAATTCTGCTAGTCACTCACCCTCCACCCTCTTTTGGTAAATCTGTCACAAAACTCGATAGAAACAGCTCTCTGCTTAGGTAGTCCCATACCCTCTGACTCAGATGCTGAACAGTATTCTTTAGGTGTGTGTGTGGGGGGGTGGCCGTGGTGTGTGTGTGTCAGAGGAAGCCAGAGAATCTGGGAAGGAGGAGGGGAGCTTGCAAGGGAGGTCCTTTTTGCTGTTCCTTCCTTTCTCCCCTCCGAGATAGCCCTCCACAGGCCAGAGGGGACGGTTGGGAGTGTCACTTCCTGTGGGCACAGCTCGGTAGGACTCCACCGGACTCTTAACAAAACAGCGGTTATCCCTGTCCCAGAGGGTTGGTGGGGGAGTGTGTGTGTGTGTGTGGGGGGGGGGTAGGGGGGGCTGAGGTTTTGCTTCTGCCCAGGCTTTGACCCCACACCCACCCCGGTGTCACTGAGCTGCTGGACAGTACGCAACTGTCCCTGGGGAATTAATTATAGGCCGCACACTGCTCCAGCCCCTCGGTCTGCAGGCGGCCCCCACCCAGGAGCACAGCTGCTCAACAACCTCGGGGGCGGCTGGAGGCAGAAGGGGGTGGCGGGGACGGGGGCTGATAGCCGGCTCCCCAATTTCTCACAAATGCCCTCCAGCCAGGCTGCTGTGAATGGTTGCGGGGATGGGGGGTGGGTCCTTTCAGGGGAAGTTTCTGGGGTCTAGATCAGCCTCCAGAGCTCCGGCCGCGGTCGAGGCTCTTCCGAAGTCTCCTACCCTACACCCCAGGTTTCCAAGGAGCGCTGCCCCGCCTCCGTCCAGGCCGCCCGCCCGTTCAGGTTGTGCAACACGCTCCCCGCGATCTTTTCCGCCGACTCCCTCTTCCCGGGGCTCACAACGCAGCTCCCAGCGCTCCGGGAGTCCTGCCCAGAGCGCCGGCTCTTCACGCCCAAGCCTCGGACTCTCTGAGGCCCCCAACTTGCCCGGTGCGGGACCTCTGATCCCCGGGGATCCGCTCCCGCTCCCGCCCCCGGCCCAGCCCGGGTCCCCGCGGCGTCCTCGGGGCGCCCGCGGCAACCCAGGCACGTCGGGGTCTCACCGGCTGGGAGCATTCGGGCGTCGGGTGGTCCAAGAGCCACAGGGAGGCGCGGACCGCGGTCAGCTCCCGGAGCAGCACCAGCAGCAGGACGAGCCGGGACCCGGGGGAGGCTGGCGGCCCGCGGCACGGAGCCCCCATGGTCTGGCGCCTCCCAGGACGGTCGCGGCGGGGGTCTGGGGGCGCAGCGGGGGAACGCCCCGGGGCTTTCCCTGGCTGACAGTCCCCAGTCCGACTCCTTCGCCGGCTTCCGGCTTCCAGCCGAGCCCCGGGAGGCGGGCCAGAGGGGCGGGCTTTGCCTGGGACGCGGCCTCGCTCGGGGCCTCCTCCCGGGGCGTCCCAGGTGCGCGCCGCACCCCGCGCTGCCCGCGCCCGGCGCCCGGACTCTGACCCCGCCCGCGCGAGGCCCAGGGCTGAGCTGTCAGCTGGCAAGTGTCATCCCTCCCCGACGGCCAACCCCTGCCACTTGGTGTTATTCCTTTTGCTCCCAGACGCCCCTGTTCCAACTTTTCTTTTTCGCGTCACACCTCAGACTGGAGTCCGTTTTCTGGGCTCGGTCTCTTTTCAGCCAGTCCCCACTTTTCACTCCGTGTGGTTCTCTCTTCCCTCTTCCCTCCCCCCAACCCTCCCTCCTCCCCCCCAATTTCACACCCCCCCCCTTTGCTTTCCCCAGTTTATCTTTCTTTCTTGAACTAGGACATTGGGGCTCCGTTGCATGTCTGTGTTGGGGTGAGAAAGTGGGAGCAGCTGTTTCCTACATGTCTGGAGACTGAAATCCTGGGGGGCAGTCACGTGATCGTGTACCATTCGGTTTCCCCACAGCCGGCAAGGCTGCCGCATTTCCCAAGAGACCTGGGAAAGTCCACGCTGCTGTCATGAAGGAGCCGCAGCGGATTCATCTTCCGTTCTGGCTGCTCATCCTTGGAACACGTGCTGACGGCCACGCGGCTTTTTCCTCTCCTGGGTCCTGCCACTCGCAAACCCCCCCTGTTTCACCCTACACGCTCCTGACACATGCCTTTGAAAACGGCACTTTTTTTTTTTAATATTTCATTTATTTTGCATACAGAACTGGGGCCCAGGGGCTGTGCAAGGCTTCACCAGAGACAGAGTGGGGAGCAGAACAGGCAGATCGAGGAAGTACACTGCTGAGGGGAGCAACGGGCGGGCCAGGAGAGGTCTGCCGCGCCATGTGGTCACCTCCGGGGCAGGCGGGGATCGAACTCATGGGGAAGTGGCTTTAGCTTCTTACTGCTTTAACCCCCTGCGCCACCAGGGAGGACTCCAGTCTTTTTTTTTTTCTTTAAGATTTATCTATTTATACATACAGAACTGGGGTACAGGCAAGAGGTTCAGGGGGGGGTGAGAGGATTCATCAAAGACAGAACAGGCAGATCAGCAAAGTACACTGCTTGAGGGGAGCAGTAGGTACCTCAGGAGAGGTCTGCCGCGCCATGTGGTCACCTCCAGGGCAGGTATCCAACTCATACTGAAATGGCTTTAGCTTCTTACTGCTGTGCTTTAACCCCATGTGCCACCAGGGAGGGGCCTGAAAATGGCACTTTTAATCCTCTTCATCCTAGACCGCCGTCTGCCTTTCCTGGATCCCTGTCCCAATGCCTCTGCCTGACCTTAGACTCCTGCGGAAGTCTAGACAAGCTTCACTTTGGCTGCTGTTTCCTGCCCACCTCGAGAGGAGCTCCCAGATCCCGGCGCGGGTTCCCTGGTGGTCCAGGCACCACGGTCCTGTCCTCACCGCTGGCAGATCTCTGGCGCAACTCTGTGAACTCCGGTTGCCTTTAGGACACTGCTAAATCGAAGGTCTGAAACTCAGTGGCCCTCAAAGATTTTTGCTTATTTCTAAAAGAATTTGGAAAACTGGGCCCTCCCTGGTGCTCAGCAGGTCAAAGCACAGTACTACGAAGCTAGCTGCAGGTGCTTCAGCATGAGTTTGATCCCCAGCCAGCCCCCACCCGGCAGGGAGCTGACCCACATGGCACAGCAGACGTCTCCTACCTCACCGCTGCTCCCCTCAGCAGTGTGTTTTGGTCAGTCTGCCTGTTTTGGCCCCCACTCTGTCTCTGGTGAATCCTCTCACCACCCCTGCAACTTCCTTTGGCCTGTACCCCAGTTCTGTATGCATAAATAAATCTTAAAAAATAAAAAGAATTTGGAAAACTCATACAGTTTAAAAATGCCATCTATTATTTTTCATCACAAATTCAAGCAGATATGGGAGGATATAAGCATGAGTAAGATTTGACACTACACATGGGTAGCATCTAAGATGGCACCCCACTAATACAGCTCCTGATAGTCACATCCTTTTGCAAGAGAATGGGGTTCAAGGAATTAAGTAACATGGTTATATTAAAACTAGTGCACCTCTTGAGTGTGGGCTGGGCCCTGTGACTCATTTGCAACAATAGGCTATGAATAGAATAAGCCAGAAGTGATGGGATGTCACTTGTAAGGGTAGGCTCCCCAAATTCCTTCACTCTGTTCAACCTCCAGCTGGGCTCCTGTGAGGTGCCAGGAGGCGCGTCCTAACTGAGCAGGAACTGAGAAGGACCTCTCGCCAGCACCAGTAAGAAATCAGGCATCTCCTTACATAATTACAAGTGTTAGCACATAGTTGATGGAAAACATGGAAAATAATGCATGTTTTAATAAGTAATTGTTAAATTCACCTCTTCATGGAGATGAATTATTTTGTTTCTCCTTTTAGCTTCTGTATCTGGGGACAAATATGTTTAGCTATAGAATGAGATTGCACTCAGGATTTTAAACTATTTCAGCGGTGGCCTTAAGAAACCTGTTGACACAAAGAATTAAGGCATCAGTTTCATCACCGCATGGCAGATGCAGCTCCTGTTAAGAGCGATGCAAAAATCGCACAGCTGTGAGCAAATATTTTTAATGGGGTGGCAGTTAAGAACCTGGTTGTGTCCTCGTTCAGTTGTGGTAAGGTGATATTTGGAGCCCACCTGACTTGAAAAATGTGAGCTGTCATCCACCAATCACTGTTGGAGCTGGTTCCTTTGTCTAGTGCCCTGGAGGTTTTTATATACAGGGGCTAGTGTGAGGCCTCCCTTTCTTTTGAAAGTGGTGCAACTTGTTAAAGCACAGCACTACGAAGCTACCTGCAACCCCTTCAGCACAAGTTGAACCCCCGGCCAGGGAGCTGACCCACCTGGCGCAGCAGACCTCGCCTGTCTCGCCCGCTGCTCCCCTCAGCAGCGTGTTTCACTCAATCTGCCTGTTCTGCACCCCACTCTGTCTCTGGTGAATCCTCTCATCCCCTGCTCCTTTGGCCTATATCCCAGTTCTTGTGTGCATAAATAAATCTTTAAAAAAAAAAGTTGGCAAAGGGCCAGCATGACAGGAGGTGGCCAAGGAGAAGGCCCACTGGCACACGTGAGCCCCTGGCAGCTGGAACCTTCTAGGAAGGCACATTTTTGGAAGAGGCCCCAGCATACTGAAGTCCCATTCTCTTCAAACTGGGATCAACACATCTTTTCTGTAAAGGTTCAGGTGACAAATTTTCTGCTTTGCCAGCCACCTGGCCTCAGTGCCAGTGACTTAACTTAACCCTTGTGCACCAAAGCCACTATCTGCAGTATGTAAACAAAGGAGCTGTGTTCCAGTGAAAATTTGTTACTTATTAAAAAGATTTATTTTTATTTATTCATACAAGAGCTGGGGTGCAGGCCAGAGGTGAGAGCTTTAAAGGATTCCCCAGAGACAGAGTGGGGAGCAGAACAGGCAGATGTACAGAAATCCACTGCTGAGGGGAGCAGCAGGTGGGTCAGGAGAGGTCTGCTGCACCCTGTGGGTCAGCTCCCTGGCTGGGGATTGAGCTCGTGCTGCAGTAGCTGGTGTTAGCTAGATAGCGCTGAGACCCGGGAGGTCCTGGAACTTTATCGAGGGCACTTAGTTAGAATTGTGTATAATTCTGGCAGCAGTCCTGCCCACCTGTGACTATGCAGGTGCTTCTTTCCACCAACTCTCCCTCCACAGAGCAGCGGCCTCCTGCCTGCTGGTGATCTGTGGCCACGTGGAGCTTCTCTGCACGGACCTCTCTCAGCAGAGGCCGCTCCCCCAAGGCTGCCTGCCACGGTCATCCGGGCCTCTCAGAAAACCTGTCCCGCTCGGGGCAGCCCGTCTCTCCTTTTTGTCTACGCAAGTGTCTTCTGTTCTTGTCCTCCTTTTCATAATAAACTTGCCCTTTTGAATGTGAAAAAAAAAAAAGAATTTTATATAATTTTCACTTAACATTATTTAATTTATTATTATTCATTTCATATGATATTCACAAAATATTCTTCTTTTAACATTTTCTCCAACCACTTAAAGATATAAGAGCCATCTTCACTCCTGGGCTGGTGAACGTGGGCCGCGTAGGCATGGTTCTTGGAAAATCTTCATCTAAACTTAGGGGGTGCAGGGCAGGCGTCCCTTCCCCACGGCCCCACACGGTTCTCCACCCTGGGTACATGTTAGAATTATCGGCAGTGGCCCTCCCTGGTGGTACAGCGGGTTAGGACGCAGCACTGCAAGCTGGTCACAGCCACTTCAGTGCGAGTTCGATCCCAGCCCGGAGGTGACCCACGTGGCATGGCAGACCTCTCCTGACCACCCGCTGCTCCCCTCAGCAGTGTGCCTCATCAATCTGCCTGTTCTGCTCCCCACTCTGTCTCTGGTGAAGCCTCTCACTGCCCCTGCACCTCTGGCTTGTACCC